AAAAAAAAGAAAATGTGGTATATATACACAATGGAATTCTATGCTTCCATCAGAAAGAATGACATTGCTCCATTTGTTGGAAATTGGAAAGACTTGGAAAAAATTATATTAAGTGAAGTAAGCCAAGCCCAAAGAAACATAGGTCCTATGGATTTCTCTTATTTGCAATAACTGGTATATGTCTGAGACAAGCAGAAATAAGTTGATGTTAGGTGAAATGAACCCCAAGATAAGTATTCAAATGATTAGTCTTTCATGCAATTGTTTCTAACATATTTGTAAGATGATTTCTTTGTTGCTTTGCATGTCCCTCCCCCACGGTATAACCCCTGCTTTCACTGTATTTGATGTTTGTATAATTTGTGGATGGGAAGGGAAAAAACGAATCATTTAAATAGGGATTCAGGTGGATCCATCACAACAATGAGATGTACAAGTCGTTTTGTCAAAAAATGAACTTTACAACTTTGGCAGGGGAGGGGAGGAGATGGGAAGGGAGGGGAAGGGGAAACAAAGGAGGAGGCAATAATGCTTGATAAGAAATGTACTCATTATCTTGCCCTTGTAATTGTAACTCCTCTATACAATATTTTCACAATAAAAAAAATACAGGAATATAAAAAAATTCCCAACCAATGTGCAAAATAAAACAATAATCTTGACTAGTCCTTTAAAAATCATAAAAGTAACTCACTAAATTATTGTGAAAATAAAGTGACAAAATTCTAAGTTGAACTACACAAAGAAGAAGATTTTTGTGCCCTATAGGTACACCAAATTTCTTAAGTACAACTAAATAATCTATTTTTAAAATAGATAAATTGTGCTTTGTCAACATATCTTTTAAAGCTTTTATTAAGGGCAAGAAGCCACAAATGGAAAATATTTTCAAACCACATTTCTAACAAAGAACTTATATGTAGAATATACTAAATTTCTCAAAATGTAGTAATGAGAAACAATCTAAGCAAGTGAAGAGGCAAGTGACAAAAGATATGTCAAGACACGACACCGAAAAAGATACATGTATGGTATATGAAATGGTGCTCAATATTTTTAGCTATTAGGAAAATATACATTAACATATCATAGGATACCACTACCTACTTTTCTTAATTAAAAATTGACAATACCAAGTACTGACAAGGATGAAAGCAATTGGAACTCCCGTATACCCTGTAGGTGAGGATGTAGTCTAGTATAACTAGTTGCATACAAAGTTTAGCAGTCTACATTTGACTCAATAATGACAATTCCTATGTATTATCCCTAACTAATCACTTTATCTCAAACCTATACCCAAGTGTTTATCACAGCCATATTTTTTTTCAGGTGCTTGAGGATTTATTTCCATTTAAGCCCCTCTAAGGTAAATAAATCTTATATTTCCTCTAGCCTTTCTCTAAAAGAAAACTTGGTTATTCCTGATTGATTTTGCTAGCATTTTTATTAGGATTGCTAATAATTTTCATCACAAACTTATTCATAAGTCCCTAGATTTAAAATAACTCAAAACACCCTGTGACTTACCTTTTCAAGGTAAAAATAAAACTCTCTATAGATGTTCAATAAGAAGATTTCCCAGCTATGATAACTACTGAAACACTTAAAACATGGGTGAATCTCAAACTCAGAGTACTAACTGAAAGCTCTCAGTCCCAAAAGAATTCTGAAATATTAGGCTTCAGTTTATATGAGATTTTAAAATACATAGAACTACAGAAACAAAACACAAAGTAAATGTTTGCCAAAAGTCAGTGAAGTCAGAAAGTGGAAGGTTGAAGGAATTTCAAGGAGTGAAGAGGACTATTATTTTTTTTAATTTTGACTTATTATTAAATTATATGGCTAAGCAATTGTCAAAATTCATCCAAAAGAGTGAAATTTATGAAAAGTAAATTCCAAAAGAGAGCAAAATGATATAATTGTGTTCATCACTTTTGGTTACTACAACACAATACCTAGACAACCAACTTAAGAGAGGAAGGATTTAACTTAGCCTGTGGTTGGAGAGGATTCTGTCCACAGTGGCTTGACCCTGTTGTTTTACATCTGAGATGAGACAGAAAACTACTGTGGGCAGTACATGGGGGAGCAAAGTTGTACTCCTCATGGGAGCCAGAAAGCAGTCAAGGGTTTGAGCAAAATGTAATCGCCATAGTGATCCACTTCCTCCAAAGCCTCACATTCTACCAGGCCATTCAGCTATAAACTCATCAAGGGTTTTAAAGCATTGCAATTAGCATTCTCCGCCTCTCACCAGCGCCATCAGTTGGGAATGAAGTCTTCAACAGCATGAGCTGCTAGAGGACAGACTCGAAGTAGAATAGTGACATTACATGAAGGTGTAGAATATAGTTCTCTTATATTGCTGCAAATAGGTATAAGCTGAATAAGTCTATAGAGAATAACTAGAAATTAGCTTGGACAATTGAAATACTAATTGAAACAATTCAAGGAGCAACTTTTCTTTTGGATCTTTTTTATACTTTAATATGCTTCTGACAATACAAGTAGGTTTTTTAATTAATTTAAAATAAATGATATAAAAATCAGACCATTATTATTCTTGTACAAATATTGAGATTTTTGTGTTGTCAAATATCTGTCCATTTTTAAATAAAAACTCTAAAAATGATCATTAAAACAAAACACTATTTATAATTATTTAGCAATTGCCTCCCAACTGAGAAAAGGTGTTCTAAATAGTTTTTGCACAGTAAGAAAGCAATAAAGCAGTCATCTTAGTTTCAGTGAGTAAAACTGCTTGAAGTCTAAGTATGTTGGAATTAGAAAAGGTAGTTTAGTTTAAGCACAAGTTACATTTAGAGGTCTCTCAGGATGTCTATATAGATATGTTCAAATTGTAATCATGACTATTTGGTAAATAATATAGGGAAGATATATAAGGTAAATTCTCAGAAACAGAAAGACTTCTCTCTTCTTTGGTCCTCATGAAGGAGAGGACATGAAGTTAAGGCTATCAAAATGAAAGGGCTGGGAATCAGTGACTCTGCCGACAATTCTAGCTACTCAGGAGACTGAGATCTGAGAATTATGATTCACAGCCAACCCAGACAGGAAAGTTTGTGAGATTCTTATCTCCAGTAAACTACCAAAAAGTTGGAATTGCTGTTGTGGCACGTGATAGAGCACTAGCCTTAAGCAAAATAGCTCAAGGACAGTGTCCAGGCCTGAGTCAAGCCCCTGAGCACTCTCTCTCTCTCTTTCTCTTTCTCTCTCTCTCTCTCTGTCTCTCTGTCTCTCTCTGTCTCTGTCTCTCTCACACACACACACTCACACACACAATGGAAGTTGGATGAGTGAAACAGAGGATAGCATTCTGGGTGGAAAAAGATTATGTATACAATATGGAGATGTGAGAGATCATACTGCATCCAACGTAATGTGATATGCAACTGGAAAGTATCATTCATTGAAATGAATTCAAGGTTGAAAACAGACATAAAAGAAGTTAATAAGTAAGCTCAGTTTATAAATATGGTGATCATCCAAAGGACATTTCACCATTAAAATGGCCTTCCATATAGATTCCAGATAAATTGTGGAAGCAAAACTGAAAATGCTTCCAATTTAACAGTGCACAACAGGATTCTGTAAAGGAAATACAGGAGAAAAAAAACGTTAAGTACCTTAAGGTATCTTGCAACTTCAGGATTAAACAGAGGTGTTTTAATATAATGAAAAAAGAGTGTTGCAATTCTTTTTCTAAGACCTTCAAGGTTTTGAGATTTGACTCCTCTCATCATAAGGTCAACTTCTCTGTCAATCAATTCTAGAATTTCCTGGGTCAGCTTGCATTCATGTTCCTAAACAAAACATAAAACTACTTAACATCAAATGTAAATAATCACTGCTTACAAAATTACCACCCAAACAAACATTGCTTCATTCTGAATGAAGCAATGCTGATAGAAGTATAAATCATTTGGAAAACTTGAGCCATCTCTAATAGTAGAATAGCTAATGTATATCCTATAACCTAGTAATTTCCATCCTTTTGCTTTAGAAAAATTTACCTGTAGAGTTCACAGAGGCTAAAAGTGAGAAACAACCAAAAAGCCATAATTAAATTTGATTATATAAATAAATTATATACAACTTCATCTTCAATGACAAATCAGCCTAATTCATGGAAATGAAGAAACTAATTTTAAGCAAAATAAGCAAGCACAAAATAACACATGCACTATGATTTCATTAAATAAAATTCAGGAACAAGAGCACCCAGCCATGTTATTTATGGATTTACACAGAGCACGTAAAACTAAGAGGAGAACTCAAGGCAAGGCAGGTTGTAGTTGCTTCTAGCATGTGAGAGGAGAACTATGAGGAAAACGGGGAGGTAGAGAGCACACAGGAAATGTGTGCAATGCCCTGCTTAACACTTGCTAAAGTATAAACTAATGGTTTTTTTCTGTGTATCTATTGTAGTGGCCAGTAATTTTTTGTATACTATTAGGGTTTGAAGGCCGTGTTTACAATAGTAGCACTCTATTACTTGAGTCATAGCCCCTAACCTCTTAGTTTTTTTCTTTAGTAATTTCTTTACTTATTTTCCAAATAGGGTTTTTTTTTGTTTTTTTTTTATTTGTGAACATACTGTACAGAGGGGTTACAATTACCTGGGCAGGATAATGCGTACATTTCTTACCAAGCATTGCAGCCTCCTCCTTTTGTTTACCCTTCACATCCCTTCCCAGCCTCCCCCCTCCCCTCCAATCCCAATCCTTCTCCTTCCCCCAACCTTCCCCCTCAAATAGGGTTTTTACGCTTGGGCCAGTCCATGAGCCTCCTATTTATGTCTCCTACCTAGCTGGGGCAGGTTCTACCACCATGTTCATAGTGTATTAGTAGAAATGAAGTCTTGTGAAATTATTTCCGTCAGCCTCAAGCTGTGATCCACAGCCTCCATTTTAAGTACCTAGGTATGTGCCACTATCCTCATCCTGCAGATAAATTTTAATGAAGTAATAAAAAATAATGTAATTAAGTGACAATGACCTAGGTTAGGGCTAAGGGACTAACACTGTACTTTATTTTTTTGGGGGGGGATCCGGTCATGGGGCCTGAACTCTGGGCCTGGGCACTGTCCCTCAGCTCTTCAGCTCAAGGCTAGCACTCTACCACTTGAGCCACAGCACCACTTCCGGCTTTTTTTTTCTTATGTGGTACTGGGAAATCAAACCCAGGGCCTCATGCATGCAAGGCAAGTGCTCTACCACTGAGCCATCTTCCCAGCCCCTAACACTGTACTTTATAAGAGGTATAAACTGAAGTTAGTTGCATGAAAAAGTCAGAAGATGATATCAGCATCTGTAAAATAAGACTCTTCCATACTTCTTAATGCCTACTTGATAATGCTAATTAAACAGTCTGCATCAGTGCTTCTGCATCCTGGATATATTGTAGAAGAAGCTGAGGGAGATCATAATAGATTTTATGTTGATTTTACACTTGAGTATCTAATTTAACTTTCCTGAAATGGAGCTTAGACATTGTAGAATTTATTCTTTTTCTAAAATTTCTTTTTTTTAATTATTTTTTTGGGGGGACGGTCGTGGGGCCTGAATCTGGGCCTGGGCGCTGTCCCTCAGCTCTTCAGCTCAAGGCTAGCACTCTACCACTTGAGCCACAGTGCCACTTCTGGCTTTTTTCTTCTTGCTTATGTAGTGCTGAGGAATCGAACCCAGGGCCTCAGGCATGCAAGGCAAGCGCTCTACCATTGAGCCACCTTCCCAGCCCTTAAAATTTCTTTTTGTTTGTTTGCTTGGTCCAAATCCATGACTCAAACTTGGTACCTGGCGTTTTTGCTCACTGGCTAACACTCCATGAACTAAGCCAAACCTCCAACCCCAGAATTTATTCTCATGTATTCATGATGTCTCTATCTTCCTCTGTAGATGATTATAATATGTTCTCATGTTCTATATTTGTCCTTGTTGTCCAAATAAGATCATTTATTTATTGAGGGATCCAATTTATGAGGCATTGGTATAATGATTAGATATTGACATAGACATATAGATGTCAGAGATATATCCCTGCCTTGCAATTCATTTACTACACTCAAAGACATACAATCAGCTGATGAAAACACTTTGGTTGTTTTGGTATTCACATAAACTTTTTATAAACAGTGAATCTGACCCCAAATCTAAGAGAAAGCCAACATACCTTCACAGTGTGTTTAAGCGTCAACAACACATCCAACCTCTCATCATGAGAGACATTTTTCAGTATAATACATTTATAAATGTTTTTTAGTTCTCTGGCCCTGATAGTGAACTGTGTATCCATCTGAATTACTTTACCATCATCTCTTCTCCATACCCTTGGAGATGAACACTGGAAAAATATTGTTTATAATTACAGTTAATTGAGTGCTAGAATATAGCAATTTTGTTCTTTCTGCTGTTTACATTAACATCATCTGTAACTAAAAGTATCACTAAAACGAAACATAAGAAATTAATTGGAGAACTTTTAAATGAAGCAAAAGTATACTATTTTAGTAAAAAAGATTGTGAAGAATTTTCCTTATAACATTCCATATACATTTCATATTAGCTAAATTACATTGAGAACTACAAAGCTACCTCTTATAAACAATATTTGATGCATTTTCAAAACAATAGCTTCATACTCTAGTTAAAGCCAAAATAAACATTAATACCATAATTGAGAAGCTATTGCCTATGATTACTGTATATTAGTCTACCATAAATTTATATTATTATTTTTACATGACTATATATCCATACTTTTTTGGGCGTGCCAGTGTTTAAAATCAGGACCTTGCACTATTTGCTCAGCTTGCTTGCTCAGTGGACATTCTACTACTTGAGTCATACTTCCAGCCCAACTTTTTGCTTGTTACTTTGGAGATAGAAGCACATTGACTATTCTGCATGGGCTGGTTTCAAACTGGTTTCAGGTAGTCTTGGAATGTTACTGGAATACAGTGTCTATTTCAGAGTTCTTTTCCAAAAGTTTTAAGCCATCTTAGGCTAGGTTTCATACTATAATATTCTAAAATCCAACTACTATCTTAACCTTTGAATGCAATTTTCCTCAGGGTGGCTCTCTCAAGTATAATTTATTTTCTAAAAAGTGTGGAAAATACCTTTCGCTCTGTAGACAGCAATTTATTTTGTTGTAATAATCCTTACAATAATCTTTCTATAAAATGAGTAGTTTTATTGATTTCATTCTATTTTTCCATTTTTATACTGATTTCACTCTATTTTCCTTTCAAAATATTAGCCCTGTGGAATACAGCGTTGTATAGTAATATCATAAGCTTTGTACATATAAATCATTCCTATCTTTCAATTCTGAATTCAAACACTGCCTCTTCAATACACATTCCTTTAAACACTATAATTTGAAGCAGTTTAGTATACCCCAAATTCTATAATACTTGTAAAATAAACACAAATACAAATACATACATGTATGTAGTATTTCTTAATAACTTGGGATAATATGTGAATCCAAGTTTTTCTATAATTGTTTTAATGTTTATTAAAGCTATTGCCTCCAAAACGCTTTTTGCTTAACTCTGGATGCTTCATGGAGCCTATACTACTCATTCATTGAACCACTATTTACAACGTTTACTACGTAATCTGTGTCTAGGCACTGAGTAGACAAAACACTCTTCTGATTCTAAAAATTTTCAAATCTTAAGCATGTAAAAGTTAGAAATTAAGTAATTAAAATAAAATCATTTGCAATAATTAGTATATGTCTAGGATAACCTTAGCACATGAACAGAATACCTCAATAACTATGTACATATAACCATAAAGATGACACTAAGTGAAATGAACTCTAGGACATGGACACAAGAGGTTTTTCTTTGTTGTTGTTATTTTTAATGTACTAGTTATTTTTAATGTACTTTGTTTCTTTTGTATGTTCTTCCCCTATGGTATATCCCCTTTTGTCAATGTATTTGATTCTGGTACCCTGGTATTGTAATACATTTATTTGAATTAGGGAAGAGAAGGGGAACAACAGAATGGTGAGACAAAAGACAACGGGGGAACCAATGAAACAGCAATATACACAAGACAGTATGTTGGAAATGATCTGTACAACTTGGGGGTGGGAGAGGGTGGGCGAGGAAAAGTAGGAGAAAAATGAGGGAAGGGGTAACAAGTTTGAAAAGAAATGTACTTATTACCTTATATAACTGTAACCCTTCTGTACATCAGCTTGACAATTAAAAAAACTGTGACTAAGAAAGACAGCCTCTTCAGTAAATGGTGCTGGCAAAATTGGTTAACTACATGTAGAAAACTAAAGCTAGGTCCTTATATATCACCCTGCACCAGAATCAACTCCAAATGGATCAAAGACCTTGAAGTCAAAGCAGACACTCTGAAAACATTACAGGATGGAATAG